CCTCGAGGCATCACACTTTGCCGCTGCCGATAACTCGTCTACTCCTGTGACTGCTGCAGTCAAGCGTGGCGATACCCAACTTGCCATTTTCAAGGTTAAGGGTAAATACTACGCTACACAGCAGATGTGTCCGCACAAGAGAGCCTTTGTCCTCTCTGACGGTATCATCGGAGAGAACATCAACGATGGCACCGAGCAGGGCAAGAAGAAGAAGGATATGTGGGTCTCTTGCCCATACCATAAGAGGAACTTTACTCTTGAGGGACAGACCCCCGGTGGCTGCAGCAGTGATTCGGAACTCAGCATTGCCACTTTTGAGGTAGAAGAGAGGGATGATGGATGGGTTTATCTGAAGCTGCCATCAGTGGCAGAGTTGGACTCACTTTTGGGTACCGAGAGATGGAAGGTAAAGAAGGAGGAGACTGGGGATCCGTTTGCGGAGATGGATCGGAAGTCATGTAACACTAAGGGGAGGAAATCTGTGAAGCCTGCATTGTTTACGAACGGTGTTAAGGCAGAGGTGAAGACGAAGAGCATTGACTGGTAGGATATGGTCTGGCGGGTGGACGGGCGTTTTCTCTTTTAATTTTTGGGACTTGCATTGAAACGGTTTTCTTTTTTGTATATAAATATTTCAGCATACATCATACTACATAGATGAACAATGGGTATTTCGCGTGTGTATTAGATCCAAAGATTCGAAGTTATTTTAGAGAGAATTACTGAAGCATCTCCGACTTGGTTGGGGTGGTTGTTTAATGATACCCCCGGTTGAATTGCCAATGATGGTTGCCACCAGTCTTCAGAAGGGTCAATGATTTAGTTGACATGATTCCTTGACTACAAAATCGCCCCCGACTACTACTCCCGATGCTCTAACACGGCACCTTCAAACATGCGTTCGAGGTATTGCCACTCTCCCTCCACTTTCCTTCGGACATGGATGAACTAAATCTAACATCTTGTCGTTGTTGGTTGCCAGGGGGTTTACCGTTCCCCGCAATGTGGTTTACATTACAGACAACCTAATATTAACCGGACCGTCTACAACACTAAAGGACATCGGCAAAATTTAAATAAAAACTTTGATTTATCCTCGAGCGATGCTACTAAAAGGGCGAGAGAGGTCTAGAGGAGATTGAAGGAAAACACAAAAACACAAACATACAAACGTTAACGAAAATACTACTAAATTAAAAGAGAGATAAATAAATAAATAAATTGAAACTACATGTATATATACATACAGATTATTACATACAAATAAAGCGTATTGGGTGGCAAGTCTCCTCTCAATCCCTCGGACAAAGCCCAGAGATCAAGGGGGGCTATATAACACCCGCAGCGAGCCTACAAAAGGGGTGGGCGAGGGCAAGCAGAAACCTAGCTCAGGGGGCGGGGATGGGAATGGGGGTTGGGTTGGGATAGGCGGGGCGCCGACGGGGAGCAGGAACACAGGCGGCGAAGGCAGGCCCACAGAAACCAGTTCACTTCTTCTGGGCCCTCGGTATCACCCAAAGCCCGGAAGAAGCAAAACGTGTTAACGTAAAAAAGCCCTCCCTCCTTCATATGAAGGAGAGAGGGCAAGCACAAACCTATCTAACGCAAAAAAGCCCCCCCTCCTTCATACGAAGGAGGGAGGGCAAGCGAACAAAACGACTTAACGCAAATCGGCCCCACCTCTCTTCTTGTGCACAAGAAGAGAGGCAGAGGCCGACTTACAGTCCTCACCCCACTCCTTCCATCCCCTAGAGGGGGGGAGGAGGGGGAGGAGGGGGGTCACTCACCTCCCTTCTATCCCCACAATGGAGGAGAGGAGGAGGGAGAGGACAAAGGAAAGAGGGGCAGAAAGGGAGAGAAATATCTCCAACCTCCCCTGTTGGGGAGGAGGTAGATGACGACTTAGAACAGTTTATATTCGAGTTTCGCCGCTCTGCCCTAAGGTAACTTTGGTCTTGGCGTTCCCGCTGCTGAAATCAACGAGTGAGAGGGAATGATCGGAAACCCTCGCGGACGAGATCACAACCCTGGGTGCATCACCAGCACAGCAACGGAAGTCTCGATCCGATACAGGTATACAAACTATCCAATAAAATACTGCAATATGCAGACACCCCTCGAAATAAATACTCCGCTCAGAAAACTAGCGGCCATCGGATTAATCAAAGTCATAATTCCATACCACGAGCCCTGTTATCCGACTGCCCCATAATCCCTAGGAGTTGAATAACACAGTACCAAAAGGAAAAAAAAAAAAACCGCGGGACTAATCGATCAGCACCGCATGCGGCGTGAGGAAAATATTTCTACGGTCTACACAGTATTACTACGGTACGATGGCTGTATACCGATCTAATTCGGCTCACAGGAAGCTTCAATCCGCCAACCATTGGCACATCAACCAAAACTAGACGGCAGATATCAACGAAGGTCATCAAGTTCTTTACTTGAATTCAAAAGGCGTGCTCCCACGAATAATCTGCATTTTTTAGGCTTCTGCCTGTTTACCACCGGTACATTAGCCACATTACCAACAACCGGAAAAGAATATTTTTCCCCGGCTGGTATGTACAAGTCGCCTGGTGGCAGCTTAAGACCTACCCATGATCTCCCTAAAGATTGCCTCTACTCGGGTAGTGGGTATGATACCACACGATTCCTACCCATCATAGCCTTATAGACTTTCTTAGGCTGACGTATTGTTTGTTCTATCAGAAGTCCGAGAAGCCCGGACCAAACCACGCCCGCCGAGGAAATCGATAGGTTGAGCTCCGGAATACCAGTATCTACCACGAATCTTAAGCTACGATAGTAAAGTACATTCTCTAATTTCTAGGCTTTTAATAAAGATAGGGAGCTCGTTTTTGTCGATCTCATATGCATCCCAAATCTCAGTACACGATTGCAATGAGAGGCAGTGAATATAGCACCACGAATTCGCTCAAGATGAGCAGGACTATAAAAGGCTCATATGGCACCTAATTCCTCCTACTCGACTCGACTTGAAAGGGCTCGAAGGTTCAAGGTGGCCTCTTATTAGGGTTAGGGTGATTATTCTTAGGGTTAGGGTTCGGTCTCTACATGATTGGTTGGTTAATTCGTTAAGCCCAGGTGCCATATACGGGTTTTCCAAGCTGTGCTATGCGGGGGAATAATTCCTACATATCTCGAGCTTCCAAATTAGAGCATCTGAAGGCTCTCGAGCCAACTCAACTCGTTGTGGTAGCTGCTCGTCGAGGGCCTCGGGCGGACTTGTCTCCTCAACCACACTAAGTAAGTTTCTCTAAGTATCCATGAGAAAGACGACTAAATGAGAAGAAGATATAGCGGGACTCCAAGGGTTCTGGCGATCTGGTCGGTCGATGGTCGAGCGGTCGGTGGTGGTTGAGGAGGGGTGGGTAATTTTTAAAGGATTACCAGCCCCTAGGATCCTCGGTATGCACTCAGAAGCTAAGAAGGATATAGCTACATACGTATACATAGAGTAACAGCGAAGAGAAGAAAGTGATAGTTTCCGAGGGCTAGGAGAGGGGGGCAAGAGAGAATACTTCGTGGAGATGTCCGGAAAAGAGAAGCACACTAGAGAAGGACATGAGGTGCTGAAGACTTGAGCCGATAAGTACTTGTACTTGCACGTACACTCCCAAACTTGTTCACAGCCCTTCCTACGGCGAGTAGCGAGCCCTCCTATGGGGTGAGTACGAGACTAGCTATTACACCATCATCATAAGAAGACATCAAGCTTCATAAGCCAAGGGGTGGGAGAAGAGGATGAGAATATGCGATGAATACTTACATGGCGAGAGGGCTTTTAGATTAGATCGAACTACATACATGTAGTTGTGGAATAAGGCTGCGATTCTTATACACACAAAATTAAATGCAAGACGTATGATACACTCGAGCTCAGCGCAAAATCACTTTTGTTACCCTCCCTTATTTCTTCCCGTTTCAGGTGGGTTTGGTCCATGGCCCAGGTAGTCTCCTGGGTGGATCAGAACACATTTATGGCCTCTCGCATGACACGAAGCCTGGCCCGGCCCGGCCCGATGCATCCACACCAGCAGACGTCATGTTTGGCGACTACATGGCGCTACATGTACCTTCAAGCATCCCTCATCTATCAACAAGCGACTCAGTTCTTACCACTCCTCGATACTGCTCCTCTCAAGCCTATTGTATCGTCCTTTTCATCACTGGAATCACACACAAGGTGTACCCGACACGAGTGATACGCCGTGATTATGCCCTTTGCTGGAAAGCCCCCCTAGGCTTGACCCAAGGTCAGAACCCGTAGTGCGCACCTCTTCCCCAACCCGAATCATATACATACATGTAGCCAGCTAACTGTTGATCAGGTCCCATCTTATCCTCCAAAGGCAATCCTTTTCGGGGGGGCTATCACCAAAGCCACAGTGACCCACTAGCCTGGCCACTCTTTTGGCCCCCACGAGCAAGGTTCAACTCGAGCAGTTGCGAGAGAGTGATTCCGAAAGACTGCATCCGGTTCTGTGCACGTGATGTAAGTCTACTCTACGTAGTCTGCCGAAAGTGGCTGGAGTAAGCAAAAAGAGCGGTGTGTAATCATACTTATCTGATCGGCAATGATTCAATTGACATGCTAACTTAATGGCCCTTGCCCTTGCCCTACTGATAAGCGCCAATCAGTAACTAGCGATAGCTAACATAGTGCTAGTAAGAGTAATAATAGTAGAGAGCCACACAGCAATAATTGAGCCAAAATGATTACAAATGAGATGCTTTTTTGTCTGCAAGTAATTACATAAATACTTTTTTTCTCCCCCTTTTCTCCCCCTTTCATAAAGAAAACCGTCCAGTACGTACACTAATGTCGTCTTACAAAGGAATGATAATTCATTGATTGTATGCAGCCCGTCTTACAAAGGAAAGATTCTGGCTGGATAAATAAGTTTCAAGCAGTAGTCGGAATACCTTTCGTAAAGTTGCAAAATAACTCTACCAATTGGCTCAATATCTTTTCACTGAGCACCACGGCCTCTGCCGCCTCTGCCGCCCCCGCCTCCTCCTCCACGGCCACCTCTGTCACCGCCTCCTCTACCTCTGTCACCACCCCCTCTACCTCTGTCACCACCTCCTCTACCTCCTCTATCTCCACCGCCTCTATCGCCGCCCCCTCTTCCACCCCGATCACCTCCAACTCGGTATTCAGCTCTGCCTCGATCTCCACCGCCGCCTCTATAACCACCGCCACCTCGATCGCCGCCACCTCGATCACCGCCTCTACCTCTATACTCTCCTCCACCTCCTCTACCACCGCCTCCTCTATCAAAACCGCCCCATCCGCCACCTCCTCCTCTACCGCCGCCACCGCCACCACCTCGCCCGCCTCCACCTCCAGATCCTGGTCCGTCGGTCCATGAAACCTCATATGGGTCCGCTGTGTACCCTTGGCCCCAATCGTCCCACTCTAAATTATCGAGAAGGCCGCCGTCGGCGTCAAACATCCATAACGGCAGTACAGTCTTGGTTGCGTCTACCCAGTAGGGAATTTTATACGTCCTGGGCTTTGCAACGTTCCAGTTGGGGCCTGGAGCAATTTGGACCCATGGGATATACCAGGCCGGGTCGACGCCTGGCGCTTTTAGAAGGTACTGTTGACCGCGGCCGGCCATTCTGAAGTTCTCGCTTTCGTCGTGACCTGGCTTGTTTCAGGAATTGGAACTTATTCGGAGGGATAAGAAGCTAAAAACCTCGTAATGTATAATCTGTTTTTCTTCGTAATTTCTCTTCTTCTCTTACACTGGCCCAGCTCTCGGTCTCTCCCGGATCAGAGCTCTATCAATTAATCCGTTGCTTTATATAACGAGATTTCTTACGAGCGATCGACCGTGGGGGAAAAGAGAAAAAAAGGGCCCGTTGTTCTGATTGGACATGCGATGGATGCCTGAATTGTGGGGACCTCTGGAGAGGGGGGTTGTGGATAAGTAAGCAGGAATGCAGGGTTGGGTTTAGTGTGTATGGTGGGATGCCTGAATAGGTATCGCATGACGGGTGTTGAGGCCTGGAGAAAGGGCTGTATGACGGTGAAGTCAGAGTTGCGTCTTGTGTTCTCGCGATATTGGATGTTGATATGGTTACAGAAGCCCAACTCGCAAACATGATGGGGCAGAGCAATGTGGAGCTGGGACCGCTCCTCGTTATATTTGCCAGCAATTAGATCATCCAAGGTAAGGATTAATATGAATCTATAGGATATCCCGCTAATACGTGTCGTAGGTTTGTTCTCTCTTTCGTTGAGGGAAAGCATCAAACGTTCTCATGCCAATGATCGTTTACAGATATTTGCGCCAAGACTTAATATCCTTTCGCTTGCCGAACCAGGGTTGATAACGTGTCTTTCCGATTGCAGCCAGAGAGGGTGCCTGGAACGTGCGAGAAAGAAAGATGATTCTGCAGCAAAGATTCGTAGGTACAATCTTGGTTCTGAGAGAGAATTTTTTTGACGCGCAGGATTTTATCGATATCGATATCCCCTCGTTATCGAAGCGAGAACTATTCTCGTCCTTACCTAAGCGAGAAATTTCGCCATGATGAGATTCTTTGCGCAAAGATACATGTATGGCAGGTACTTACAATATGTATGTACCCGTCCGTAAATATGTGTACTCCCTTTTGAAGATGATGATTGCGTAATTGCATCTGCGTATATTGCTGACACGATTGTGATTATTAAGGTTTTCTTCCAAATAACGTTTCCGGACCAAACCGGAGGGAGAAAGTTTGGTAATGTGATTACCCCTTCATGTTTGGGGTTTTATGCAGCCTCAGCAAGTCCTATACGGAAACGTTTTCCAATTGCGAGGAGACGAGTTTCCCCGCTAGCGATCTAAGATCAGGCGCTCAGTCCTGCCGGCTGTTGATGGTGAAAATCAATATGAGAGATCGAGGTTCAAGCACGATATCATTGATATCGACTTTAAGGCTCCCGTCCTCGCACCAAACTTGATATGACACGAGAAAGAGGTTGAAGACACTCTAGAGTGCATATTCAGGCGTTCAATAAACCGTTGTGTATTCAATGCAACTGGCCAAACACGAACCCATCACAAGTCGGATATCGAAAACGAAGAGATATCTTTTGTAAGTTGTGAGTGGAGGCCTTAGAAGGGGGGGGGGGGGGGGGGGTCGGGCTTTGATACATGTACCTACTCACCCAGTTGTACTGATGACATCCGCGAAATTTTAATATATATGCATGTAGTATACCCTAGGCCCTCGTAAATAATGAATCATCAATTCATCTAGAATTATCTACGGGTATTTACAGTAACATTTTTATCCTGTAGTGTTCTTTTGTCGTCATGGAATGACATGCAAGGCAGATTCTACTAGCCACCTAGCTTTTAGCCACAGCACAGCGCGGTGGGATGCCTGAATTCAGTAAACGAGTGATACCATGTGACTACAAAACCTAAATATTATCAGACACCACACCTAACCCTGAGTATTATTGGGTTAACGTGACGGTGTGACAGATACCGTGATGAGATAGGATACGCGTTTGTGCGTATATATACATTACACTTTGGTCTTGTGAATACATCATATTGGTGTATGTGCACTCTCTACTTACACTTAGTCTTCATGTACCGACATGTACACACTAGTATTGCCTAGAGTGTTTTGTATACTTCTTCAAAGTCTGAGAATGACTACATGTATGTACCTCGTGTATGTACCTCAACACCTACCACCTCTACACTCGGACAGCTCTAGAGCAAAAACACCAAGAATCCGGAACCCGAAAACGACATCGTGAAGCATTGAGACATCCACTACAACCATCGGGGTTAGTAAACGCCCAAGCACCTCACCGGCACAACACGAACCCTCCGTCCTTCTCCTGTTTCACGACAACAGAACAGACAACGACACGATCCGTCCATAACGTCTTGAATTTTCCGCTCTGGGCATCGGCCTCGGTGATTCGGATATCAAGCCACTTCCACGCCTCGCCCTCGGTTCGCTTTGGCGCGGCGGCAGCACCAACACAACAAACTGAGTAAGACCGCCAGCCACCACGAACTAAGCTATCGGTTCCGACGTCCCCGGGACGGAGGTGGGGGAGGCTTGGCGGGGCCTGCCCGGATTGGGACATTCTATGCCGTAGAAGCACAGAAGCACAGAAGCACAGGCATGGTACGGTACGGTACGGTACGGTACGGTACGAGGTGGATGGTTCGGTTCGTTCGTTTGGAGAGTAGGTAAACGGAGTGACAAATGTTGTGTGCAGACGGTATGTAGGTACTAATTAATTAATACGGAGACTTTTTTTTAATTGAGGAGCATACAGCTCAAACTCAGAGGAGTACCTGCTCGTATGTCATGTAGGTACAGGTATTTAATTTGCGTGCCGCGATGTTTCGGCGCCTTTACTACCCTGGACAGCTTGACAGGTACGAGGAGTGCTTTTGCATATCGTGTAGGTGTAATTTGGAATAGTAAGTAGAGTATGTAACTTGTAAGTAGTAAGTAGAGGTGTAACTTATGATAGAGACAGACACTTCCGAGATATGCACAGCTGGCTTCGGCCATTTCCGTACTGATTAAAGTTTTTAGAGTTGGAACGGAAGGCACGAAATCAAGGCCATCCTCATTCTCACGCTGACTCTCCGCCTTACTCAATGGCCATCTGATAGATGTCGTGATACTAGATACCATGATACGATGATGGTGAGTGCACATATCTTCTTCTCACCTACGAACTGCACTCCATCACACGACTGACCTCCATCATCATCATCCCTCAGGTCACAGCATGCATGTCTCTCTCTCTCTCACCCACTCACACTGCACTGCACCTCCCCGCTGACCCACTGCTTCCACCGCTCCAAATGACGATCCCCGCCAGCCATGGTCCTGCCTCCATCCCTAAAAAGCTTAAGACACACGTGGGGAGGTTGTCTTAGGTCTCCAAACAGGTTATTTGTCTTGTCTCTGAGCAACCGCAGATCCGTCGCACAAGACTGCTTCATGAGACGAGAGCAGTCGGGGGCGGCTTCCATCACCTACCAGCTCCTCCAACGGGCGGGCCACTGAACGCATCGTCATTGGCCTACAGCAAGCGAACAAGTAGCTTTCTCGATGGTCCTGTAGATCACAACAACAACAACAACTGTACCTACTCTTACTTTACCTACATACTCTTACCTGCACTGCATTGGAAAGAAAGTTCGCCCTTTTTATGTAAGTGCAGCTATTTGACGTGTGCTCTTTTTCCTTTTCGTCCGGAGCTTACCATTGCCATCAGCACGTCATCGAATCAAAAATCCTCACTCGGGCCCAAGACATGAGCAGTGCAGCTGAAGAGGAGAGAAAAAGGGTGTTTTTACATTATAAGAATAACCACAAAAGTGAAATAAAAAAACATAAAAAAAAGCCTTTGTGGCCCACGGAGAAAGCGAAGCAATCAGTTTCATTCAGTCAGGTCTAGCTCATCTCATGCTCATGCTCACGCTTTTGGTTCCTGTCGCTCTGCGCCCGCCTAGGTACATGTAGCTGCGGTTCAAAAGAGCAAAAAAAAGAAAAACGAAATAAGAGACGAACAGCACCAGAACCCAGAGTGAGAAATTAACAGCAAAGTGAAAAAAAGTCTTTCCAAAAACGCATTCACACATATGATGTGAGCTCCCAAATTTTTCGAGATCACCATAGAAGTGGATTAGAAAAATTCACTTTCACGCTTCCCCGGCCGCACTCCCCCAAACCCAGCTTTCCAGCTCAGCCCGAAATCCCAGCCATCTAATATCCGCACAGTACACACCACATATATACACTCATCCACACACATTGCTCGAGTACCAAAAACCTTAACATTCACCTATCCACACAGCTCCCGCGATCTACATGAACAGAAGTAGTGAAAAAAAACAAAAAACAATTCCATTCATTCTGCCCCTACCTTAGCCGCTCCTTTTTATAGCCCCATCCCCCAATTGCCAAGACACCGAAAAAGCAAAATATGGTGCGCCCAATCATAAAGGTAGTCAAAAAATTGGGGCGAGGTCGAGGTTGAATAACTTTCCAACGAAACAAATTATGAAAAATCCGGTTGGTAAAATTGAAGTACTAGTGATGAAGAAGAACTTTACCAACCAGATTTTTGATATCTCTCCTGGTTAAAAAGTTATTCAAGCTTGAAATTCGGTATTTTAGTATGTAAAAAGCGCCAAGACTAAACAAAGTGGAACAGTATTATACCCATTTATACCCTTAAAGAAGCAAACCTGATCAGGCCATGGCAGTGATGCAGCAGAAGGCTAGAAATGGGCCCTCTTATTGGCCCATGAGGCCATATTGCAGCCACAATTGTTCCACTTCTGTATCTTCCGTATGCCACCCCATCACCTTTAAGAGTGTGCGCACCATACCTGTATGCAAGCAAGCCACACACTGGAACCTTCCCGTGTTTCTATTATGGTGGGGGTGGGGTGTCAATGATCGAAACAATACAACTTTTACAACCATCACGTGACCACGCTCATCATTCGCTCCACGGTGATTAGTGATTGGATCTCAGACAGTCAGCAGCTCCAGCAATCAACGCAGGTACGCTACACAAGATCAGACCTGAGCTGGCCGAATGACCAAGCGAGTGAGACGAGCTCGCGAAGGGAACCCACAAACACCCTGGTTTTTTTTTTCATTGAGGCTGCTATTGCTGCGCGGGCGCAAGTAAGGGAGGTGGTCAATGAGGGGTGCATGGTTACAGAGGAGTGGAAATGAAATAGAAAAAGGGAAAAAAAAGGGTTCGAATTTCGAAGGGGGGGGGGGGGGGGGGAGAGAGAGAATAAAAGGGAGGACGGAGCAAATGGGGAAGTGTTCCTGTAGATGTGTGGATGAATCATGCGAGATGAGGAATAATGTGTGTTGCGGACGGATGTTTACTTTTCTGGGAACTGCAGCTGTTTTCTTTCTTTTTTTCGTTTTCTTCTTCTTTTTTGTTTTTTTATTTATTTATTGATTAATTATATGTTTTTATGATCATGATCAGGGAGAGGGGGCGGAGGTGGAGGTTTCGCCGCGCGCGCGCGCGCGGGCGCGGGTTCTCTTTCGCTTTCGATGATTCCCAACCTCATGATTGATTGGATCTGCTGCGATATGGGCGGCCTCGATCAGCAGGAGGTTTAAAGAGGATGTAGATAGGGTGGAGGGTGAGATCTCGGGGCCTCGGGGGTGGGTGAGATAGATAGGTAGGGGACGGACGAGGCTGTAGATACCACATGAAGAGTCGGAAAAAAAGTGCAAAAAAATCATAAAGATGGGAACCTTAAATGCAGAATCGTGATTAGCATCATGATCACAAAGCTATGGACGAAGGAGCAGAAGCCGGGAATGAATGCTGCGGTGTGAGACTCTAGGTGGAGCCACCGCGACACTCTCGACATTCAGGGACAATTGTATCTCTGCTCGTGTAGTACGAGGGGCAAGCCAGCTATCCAGGTAAACTTTATTCTCGTAGTGGTTTTTCTTTTCCTTTTTTCTCCCCTTTCGTTTCGAGCACACGATGCGATCATTCACGCTCCGCCGTCCTGTCGAGTCCAAATCACAAGGGCAATAATGGTAGCGGTGGTAATGCTGATGGTAGATAAAGGAAAAATTATATTTGTGTTTCTAATTATTTAGATGTGTTTCCGAGGAATTAACCCATGTCCAAATGTCCAAATGTCCCATTTTGTAACCAATGTAACCAATGTAACCAATGTAACCAACCCAGCCCAACCAACCAACCCGGTCATGTCCCCCCATCAACCTCCACAACAACAACATGATAAGTATTATGCATTACTATTCATCGCAAAAGATTATTGACTTAATTTCTGTACCAGTTCGCAGCAGGGTCGCCAAGGCACTCTCCAACAGTCGCAACTAAAACACAATACCATTAGCAATCGCGTCCGCAACATAGACAGTAGTAATGATAACTCACATGTCAATCCTTTGGCCTTTGCATTATCAATCTCGTTCTGCACCAAGCCTTCGACGGTGGTCTGGTGTACATCGTGGTTCAATACGATGTAACTGCCACCGGCCTGGACGGCGCCAGCATAGGAGTTAAAGGCTGTCTGGATGTCGGCGGTGTGAGCATAGTCCTGAGGATCAACGTTGGCATGGATGACGTGATAGCCCAAGTTGTTCATGACATTTAGGCAGGCACTACCACAATCAAAGTAAGGAGGGCGCATGTAAGTTGGGTATTTTCCAATCGCACTGGAGACCGCACTCTCGACCATGGTCATCTGCGAGGTAACATCGGCATCAGAGAGCGTAGACAAGTACGGGTGGGACCAGGTGTGGGATCCAATCTGATGGCCCTCGTTGTTCATTCTCACGAGGAGAGCCTGGTTAGTAGCAGTGGTAATTGGTTCACCCCAGTTCTGGCCGTTGACAAAGAAGGTCGCCTTTACGCCGTTGCTTGAGAGGATGTCGAGGAGTCTTGAGGTGTAGATGAATGGACCGTCGTCAAAGGTGAGGGCCACTGTATTGGGTGTGTTGCAGCTGTAGATAAAGCTGCCATATGGAACGCTTCCAACTTTTGTGCGGCCGCCTGTGCTGCCTCCATCGGTAGGAGTAGAACCACCTGCGCTGGTAGTGGAAGTGGGGGTAGACCCTCCACTACAGCTTCCGTAGGCACTCTGGCAGCCAGTTCCTGTAGTTGATAGTTAATAAATTGTTCTAAAAACCATACTCGACTCAATTGATGGCAGTGAGTAGATGTACATACCACAGTATTCAGTGCCATCACCGCACCATCCATACTGCGAACAGCACTTGTAGGAATCGGTAGCACACTTGTAACCACCATTGGTGGCACCACAGGTTCCATCCGGAGTAGTCGACTGTCTACCAAAGATGTTGGCAGGCAGCGCACTGGCATTTGCAAGCCCAAGAACGGCCGCGCCGAGGAGAAGGAACTTTGATGAGGTGAAAGAAGGCATTGTGGTTGTTAGAACTGATCAGATACTGTTGCTCTAGAACGAGAGTAATGTGCTGGATGTCGGATAGAAAATATCGGGGTTGTGCCAGGTACTTTATACAACTCCAACTACTATCGTGTCGGAGGAGGTCGGTGAGATCAAATCATGAAATCTAAATCCATTAATCGACCTAACCTGTGACTGGTTCTTGGCCTTGATCCGCCTTGTACTGTACGAGTCCTCCCATCAGCTTCGATAGATAATCATCATTCCTTTCTAGGAAAAGGCTCCCTATCGACAACATTTGGGGCACTGTGATCGAGTTTATCGTATCGGTCAAGTCCTTGGATCCAATCACAACTTGCATATGTCTAAAGAAAAACCTAGCCGGGCCCAAAAGGTTAGCTACTTCAGCTTTACCCGCGGCAGGACGAAGGAAGAAAGAAAAGAAAAGAAACGACCACAAGAAAAGTGTTATGACTGTACTTTGGGACCTTGTAGCACGACTGCACAGTAGAGGTGTAAGTTATGTTGTAGTGCAAAAAAAAGGTAGACAGAGACTTGGCATACATACCAAACAATCGTAGTACCATGTAGGTATCTACATGGATCATGGATATGGATGTAGTATTTGTGTATGGATTACTCGCCCCACCCACCCATAAGTAGAGTACCTTGCGGCAGGTAGTGCGGGAGCAATATCAAACTGACTGATGTGCATACCAGACAGACAGGTAGGGCAACTGACTCTGTCTGAGTAGAGACACAACCTTAGACAACCCTTCCTAGGGCAGCAAGCATTAACAAGGTTTTGAGGGATCGTGGGTCAGATACGGGATTCCACATACGCGAGCTTCCGAACCCAGTGCCACGTTCGTTCGATGTTAATCGACACCCAGCCCAATGGGAGCCGTCGTGCTCTAGGAAAATTGATCTCAAGTTCGATCCTTTCAGACTCTTCCACTATTTTACCAACTGCATCTACCTATAGCTAGAGTACGCTGCTTTACCTCCCTCTGTACCTCAGCTGTGGTCGTGAGTTGTACTGGCTGAGAGACAGTACCGTACATGCGCCAAAGACTGCTCAAGTTTCACAGGATCTGCCTGTCAGTCTGTCAGTTTGTCTCTGCTGCGTGGTGATAAATTTAGGAGGAAAAGGGTCCAAATTGCCTTGCGCACTTACAGGGCCAAAAAAAAAAACGGTATCTTCTTGGCATGGTTCCTTTTTGAGAATTGAAGTCTTGGATGTGTAAGTAACAACATCTATCTGACTCGGTCCGAGACGAGACGACTGAGAATGATATCCTATTTTAATTGTTTGCCGAAACTAAAAAAACGCGCGAGGATTCCTAATAACAAATGCGTACTGGCGTGTTGCTGCTGCGCGGTTTCTAATCAACTAACTTGTAGGCATATCGTCATTTTCGGGTGGCTTCCGAATGGGGGGAAGAGTGAACTCCTCCAGGATCTTACCTCACCAAAATACGCACGGAGATTGACGTAGAGCAAGCCGACTTGAACCGACCGACCTTTGACCTAGTACACATTGACTGTTGTGCTGGTCTTACTCTAGATATTCCGCCTTTAGGTACTTAGGTACTTGAAGTTCTGAACCAGTACCCCCTTACGTCGGAGGCGTAATAGATCTCCCCTAGCTGCAAACGCTCTACTCCAGCGTCTACTGTGTGAGAATAACTCGACTTCACCCTAACACGTCAAAGAGCGAGAGACAAAACCACAACCACCGAGATACATGCTACGGTGACTTCTCATGAATTCAGCCTCACTAGCCAGCTGGCTGGTTATGCACTTGGTGTTCCACTCTCGTACTCTACCTAGCTAGGTTGTTGCTTTGCCTCACACGCTCATATTGTCACTAGGTAGAATTCAGGTACTATATTAGAGTACAGTTAGTACGTATCGTGTGATTTTAAAGATTTAACCGTAAAATTAAGTCAATCTGAAGTCGATCATAGTAGAGTAGATAACATAGCATAGCATCGACAACTTACTTTGTGCCGAACGATCCGAGATTTCTAGTTTTGGCTGATACATAGAGTAGGTAGGTAGATACTTTAGAGTGCGTACAAGCATAGTATCGTGTTGGGTGAGTGTAAGTCCTATTGGCGGGAAGTATTGTCATGGCATAACGTTTTCAAAGCGCATGGCATCGCTTCAGAACCTTCTTTCAGTTGCATTGATTTCCAGATGCAGAGAGGAAATGCCTCCCTCCAATCTCCTAACTGGGAAGGTCGCGGTGTGTCGCTATCACTATCGTATCCTAATCAAGTCGGCCAGTTTTTCTCATGTCTGCGTTGTCCATCTTCCCTCTCCTCCATCGGTATCATTTGCAGGGGATGTTATTTGTTTATCGCTAAAACAGCCTTTGTTGTGCAACATTCAGAAGCCCGATTTAGACTATGCAGCCAAGAATTCGATTCCTTGGTTCAAAATCAGGGCTGAATTACATAAATAGGAAGGCCAAGGGCCAAGATACGTTGCCTAAAAAGCTTAGGGCATCGGAAATGTTGCACCCGCTTTCGATTCCTCCTCGAAGCAGAACGAATCAACAGAGGACTGTTAGAGCCGTACATAGAGAGTTTGACCTGCAATGCCGCTGGAAACAATCCTCATGCGTGTAAGATGAGTTTACCCAAACCCACTCGATGACTAAATACGACTAAATAAAGTCGATAGTCGGATCCAATCTACGTGTTTATGGTTAATATCATCACGAGAGCGATTTCATCAAAATTAAGGTATGTAACAAGGTTGAATGAGTGGACAAGGGAGGAGATCTAATAGTTACACAGGAATCTCTGAGTCACCAGCCCTGGAATTTAGACTTAAGTAGTAACGAAGACGAAGGACTGCACAGACCACTACGTTTTAGTTATTCGAGGGTCAGCGCGGATATAGTTTACCCGGGAGCCTCAGGGTAGGGGTTAATTACCCAGCCTCATGCTCTTGAAATTTTTATTGTTGTCCAAGATACATGTATATTCAAACCTCCATAAAGATTAGATTAAGCATGCATAACAATTCGAGAAAGACGGTGTAAGAGGCTCTTCAGTGAAGGACACAGGAGTGCATACCAGGCTAGGTGGTACAGTACCGGTAGAGTACATAAACATACGGATCCATGCCTAATTATTACCCACAGGGCAATGATAGATAAGTCGTGTACTGACGTGACTTTTAAATTTTAAAATTTCTCGCTTCCCTCTAATTCCCTTCCGTTTAGCAAGGTAGGCACAAACCCTTCGTGTTATAATGTTATAATAGACTTTACCAATATCCCGTTAACCCCCTAAATTAATTATTGGGGTTGGGGTTGGGATGGTGCAACGTGGGGTCTTCCTCGTCGTTCCCCGGGAAATTTCAAAGTTGTTGTTGACCCTATAAGTTACCAGGATGCTAGCTCCTTTCCTCCCTTCCTAGGATCATTCCTCCCGAGAGGCTGTTTTTTTCTCAGAAAAATATTCCAGAAACATGCATAGCCGCGTGATATATGATGATGTAGGATCATATCATGCACTCCCCTCAGGTAGTCTTGGCGACATGAGATACTTTGTATTTACCTACATGTACTTAGTGATGAATTACCCTGTTGGTGAGGATATGAGTGAGAATTAGGAATCTATGGATTTATTTCAGATCACAATGGGAATGTTCTTTCAAATACAACCTGACTTGACTTGCTAGTGGTTAGACCATATTCGAGGAACATACTGCGGAGAGTATCCTTCCCTCGATTTATGTATGACTCTGATTGATTCCCTGCTGGCATTCAGGTAGAGTACGTGTATGTGCAGGGTTAATGGGTTCCATTTCACGGCTCATATATAAGGATTTAATTAAACCCATCAGAAAACGCGAAGGCCAAATCTCCTATTGTTCAGTAGCAGTCGGTGCTTTAGGCATATCACTGAGTGGCATTTGTAAGGGTGCTGCGGTTTAGCACCAATACAATCGTATCAGTTCCATCTGCCCGTACGATACATGTACTAGCTAAGATGGCAATAAGTTAGCCAAGGCCTTTTTCGTATTTCTTTCGGTTCCCAATATATATTAAGCCTAGATAACTTGGCCAAACATACGTCGTAAGTTTTTTCTCCCGTGTTTTGGTCACACTATGTTTAGTTGACTAATCACGGGGGGGTTGGGGTTTTAGAAAGATGTTACATACATCTTATCTTCAGGTTGACGATAGGAAGTCACACCTCGCCAAGATGTAACCTCGGTACCTCAGTACCCCACAAACATCACACTCTCGGCCTCACCGTCACTCAATAGACTCTTCCACTGTTCAACCAACTACATTTGCGCTTCTGAAAGATAAGACATGCACTGCGTTGCATATTTTCTCATGACAACGTTTTAAAAAGCTTATCCGAGTCTCAGTATAGGCCCTAGGCGTGGAAAATAAATAAATAAACAAAGACATAAACATGTACCTGATCTTATAGAGCAGTCGGTAAAATAACTATAAATCGACTTTATGATGTTGCCCCGCAATTCAATTTCACCTTCCAAATCCGCAAATATTGCGTTGTGCTGTCATATGCACAGATTGATTGGCTGCCCATCATCGAGGGACACAGCACTCTACTTGTGTAGGTAGGTATAAAGTAGGTATATATAGGTATTTGATTGACGCGAACCGATTTCAGCCTCAAGAAAAGAAGGGCTATGTATACCAAATCGCCGCTATGATTTCCTTTAAACGGCATCAACTCAGACGAATACCGGCGACGACCAATAATTCGTGCGGGGTTGTCTGTGTATGTACTTATTTCTCAAGGCTGGGCTGACCCCCATCAGGCTTTTGTGATTCTCGTACATCACGGGGTGCCTTAAACTGTGTTGTTCTTGCTCCTGTTGTGCACAACAGTCAAGTTCGGAAGCACGGCATCTCAGATCTTGTATTTGTTCTACCGATCATATATGTTCCTTGTTTTCACCCAATCCCCCCTCAGTGAAATTCTTACTACGTCTTATATTAGAATTAACAGAAACCTTAAATTTGGTTTGGTGAATACTCTAGACCACGGTGTGATTGACTGGAAAAACTTACTACGTTACCATGGCGATATGTGAAAAACATAAGCGATAAGTTCGGACGGAACAAGGCGTGCGCTTGATGCAATCGTACATGTATGTATGTTGTTTTAATTGGACGGTTGATGGTTGTTGGGATTGAGCCAAGTAGGGCACCTATCCTAGGTACTTTTAGTTCTTAAAATAGTTGTGGTAGTCTACTTGTAGAGTACCAAGAGTGCCTATCCAGCAGATACATACGCTTAAGTCTGGCGCTGCTTCCTGTACGACCGTACACGCTGTCTACATGTTACATGTAGTTACACGTTGGTACCGTTGTGCAGTGGTACATGTAACGGATGTCATGCATGGGACTGAGTGATATGGGTGTAACTTAGCAGGCTTATTACAACATGGGGGTGCTTTATATTATCGAGCTCGGTTATTAACTTTAACAATTAGTATATATAATCCTGGTCAAAAATAAAGATTTCGGAGCTAAAGGCCGCCAAGCAGAGTAATTAACTAGTCCCTCAAGATATTCAGTAACAGTTGTGTGAGTTATTGTCACTGCGGCGATGTTTGTACATACATACCCCGCTTCGAATTCTTGAATAGATGTTTACCAAGGGAAACATCTTGTGGATAGCATCATCGTCGGACACGTGCGTGACGTTTGAAGATCCGGAACCACGCGGATAGCTGAGTTGCATTGCATTTAGAGCACATATTCATCATATAGTCGTGATTGCCTTGCCAGCTGGACTGAAAATATGAGTCTTATCTTGGTCATCTGATAACTGTAATTTCACATAGAACTACGGATACTAAAAAGGTTGACTTGACTGAGTGTGGTAACTTTCCCGTCGCTTTCTATTTTATAGCCGAGGATTTGACGCATTCCTTCCATATGCAGGTTATTCATAACCACTTTTCATCAGCCATCACTCGATTCTCATGTAAAATCGAGAAAAAAATAGTGGCTGCGGAAGCATTGCCCCCATGATCAACATACCTGAGGATTATCCATTATTCCATTATTATTTATTCAACATTCCAACTACTGGGCTGCGCTTCACATTATGTCCTGACTCCATCTTTGGGTAATTTTTGGGCTTAGGAGCCTTTTGTCAAATTGTTAATCATTACTCTATTGGTTTACGGGCCTCCAAAGACCGTGTCGATGATCTTGCAACCTGCGCCTTGTTGATTGTAGGTTCGCCGCATATAATTGGTAGAAAAAAGACCTCATCGAACCTTGAGAGTGGAAGTTGATAAGATGTGGTAAGGGTCCATTTAGATAATAGTGAAGGTTTTCCCAGTTAATATATTTCCATACTTCTGCCTATTTTCCTACACTAGGTATGTGGTTACAGGGCTGCGAAGGGATCCACAACCATAGCTAGTACTGTTATGATAATCTTATTTCTATAGTGCGTTAAGAAGGAAGTAATTTGATTATAATCCAAACCAAGCTTACTCAGAAATTCGATTTGGAATGTGTGTT